AAAAAACCAATTAATTAGTTGATAATAACAGTAATTTAAATTTTGTTTAACTAAGTGTAAGATACTAGATAAGTTTTATATAGGGGGAAATTATTAACAACTTCCGTTCTTAAAAATCTTAACAAGAATTCAATTAATATACTCACAAAAAAAAAATTAATGTAATTAATTAATGTAGATCTTTAAAAAAAAAAAAGAATAATTTTAATATGTTTATAAAATTTGTTGTATTATAACGCTCCAAATATACTCTTATAAGCAATTACATAAATAATAAAAAAAAACATACATATATAGAACATATATATATATAAAATATATATATATAAAATATATATATAAAAAATATATATATATAACATATATATATATATATATATATATAAAATTATATATATAAAAAATATGTTTATAAAAAAAATATATATAAAAAAAATTTATATAAAAAAATATATATAAAAATATATATATATATAAAATATAATATATAAAAATATATATAAAAAAATATATATAAAATAAAATATAATAAAAATATATATAAAAAAAATATATATAAAAAAATAAATATATATATAAATATATATAAAAAAATATATACATAAAAAATAATATAAAAAATATATATATATATAAAAATATATATAAAATATATATATATATAAAATATATAAAAAATATAATATATGAATAAAATATATAAAAAAATATATATATATAAAATATATATAAAAAATATATATAAAAAATATAATATAAAAATATATATATAAAAAATATGAAAAAAAATATATATATAAAAATTAATATAAAAATATATATATAAAATATAAAATAAAACATATTTATATATATATATATATAAAAAAAAAATATATAAATAAAAATATATACTTATATAATATTTTACATATATAAAATAAAATAAAATAAAAATATATTATTAATTATTAATTATATATCATATCATATATATATCATATCATATATATATTATATTATATATATATTATATATTATAATTTATATATATTATAATATATATATATTATATATATATTGTATATTATAATTTATTAAAAATTAATCAATTACAAATTAGAAACATATTTTTATATTAAATTCATATGTTGTAAAGAATATATAACCGAAACTATAAGTATGCGTAACAGAAGTATCTGATCGATCAACAATCAAATTTAGCGGAGTGAAGTGCGGAATTTTCATTATAAGAGTATAATTTTAAAAAGTGGAAAACACTACGACTCAGGCGATATATTCTGTTAATATAAGAATATAATTCTTAATTATTACGTTGTATAAAAACTGTATCTATTTTTAACAACAATATATAGTATTAAAAAAATAAGTTCTTGAATTCTCAACTTCTAAATAAGTCATAGATAAATACAAACGTTTCTCAAACAAAAATATATATATATATTCGATACTCACATTTTACGACAGATCTTTAGTCAAATTTTAATAAATCAATAGAATTTTTGAATATGATATTTAATGATATTTATTATAGTGAAAGCTGTTCTTTATAGAACAGCACACATGTCAGTGTGCATGACGTCTTATATGAAGAAAAACAAATGGCAATTAATTTATACGTTTTAGAGGGGAACAGTTTTATATATCGGGTACAGAAAGGTTGAAATGGATATATCTTTACCTTACACACACATCATCAGAAACATAATACATACAATATTTATATGTCTTGTTACTGAAGTGGTTAATAAAACATAATCACAAGAAGCTATTACCTATGCTTAAATAATTTTTGGTGCTCAAGATCTTAAGTCGTGATGAGTTATCAACACCAATAATATTTTCATCAAGTCAATACCACACGCATACAAGCGTACGAGTATAATATGGTATATCCCCAAGAAATAATATGATAATATATGAAAATAAAATATTGTACAGACTGGTAGATCCGCAGAACAGTGGTTAAAAAATTTAGTCTGTAATATATGACAGAACTATTAAGCAACCAATTAAAAAAAAATTTGTGTTAATAATACTAAAATAAACACCTAAACTATGATAAAGAATAAATATTGTATACAATATACAATAAATATTTATGTTTTGTTTATATATGGGCTAATTTATAAATTTAATAAAATACAAATAGTATTATTATATCATCAATTTCCGACTTTGAAATGGTAATAATAGTTAAAAAATTAAAAAAAAAATTTAATTTTTAATATGAATAATATTCATACAAATATTTGTAAATAAAAAATTTTAAAATTTAAATTGACAATTAATTATATTAATAATTTATTTCTTTTTGTTTTTGTTTCAACACAGTCGATGTATAGTTATAGTTATTGTTTTAGCCCACAGGGGTCTGGTAAAGAAAATAACATGAAAGACATTACATGACGAAGGTGACTAACAAATATAGTCGAAGTATGGTTTCAAGAACGGTCAGGTCTACGTCGCAGAGTCACTCGTCAGTCACGACGATAATGGCCGTACGCTACCCCCAAGGGAATCTGCAAGCAAATCTCAGCTGGCTACGCCAACAACATCATGTATGAGAATACAAAGTAAATTAAAAGCATAAATACGATATTTTAAACTAATCAAAAAGTCTATATATAAACAAAACATAACAATGTTAATATAATAAATAAATTATATTTTTTTAAATAACTTATAACAAATATTCTTGATTATGCGTAGTATAAATGATTTGTTTTTGTAATACAATTCAAATGTGTATATATTTGTTTAGTTTATATATCTTAACTATACAAAAATTAATATAAATTGAATATTAAAAATTTTGTGCGTTAGTTATAGCTTATAAGTGTTGAGCATTGATTTGAATCTTTATTCAACTACGAATGAAATTGAAATGTTATAGTTATCAAATTTAAAATTTAAAAAAATTATTTTAATTATTATTATGGAATATGTTATATTATAGAAACTAAATTTGTTTTTGCAATCCTCTAGCAATATTATTATTTTTAACTGGAAAGGCCAGCATAAAATTTATACCTGTACAACGGTCGGTCATATCTGGTATACTTAATTTTTTCAGAAGCAAACCCCTACTAACATAAAATAAAAAGTAAAGAATTTTAACATTTTTAATAATGTAATTTTTAAAATATGTTGTTGTTGGATTTTCGAAACTGAAAATTATAAGTACTTTGGCTTTGTATTAGATACTTTAAGTACAATTCTATGAAAAAGATAAGTAGTAATATAATAGCTTCTCTATCGAAATACATAACGTTTCCGGATGTGTTATTTCCTTTAATAGCATAAAATGTAAGTAAATTATACTAATTATTTTATGTTAATTAGCAATATACAGTAAGAAATAATTTGTTTTATATTAGTTTTTTTTTTCGTTTTCTTTTTTTTTTTGACATTTTGCCCATTTTTATGCTTTTGTCATCAGCTACACTTGGAATTCATCGCAATTTTGCAATGTTTTTCATTGCGTTTCTTACAGTCTAAAGTACTTTAAACCTTATTTTTAAAGTTTAATATTTTCATTTTGTTTTGCTTCACATTTTAATAATAATTATAATAATTATAATAATTATATATGTATATATTATATATTTATATATATATATATTTCTATAATCTATGAATATAGTTTTTATTTTATTTCATAATTTTTAAATTTGTGTTTCAGTTGTGGGCCTTCGTTATATAGTTTTAGTTAGTTTATGATTTGCTTTAATTTTACACAATATTATTGCGTTTGCGCTTGCATTTCATTAATACATTTCAACTTTCTAGTCTAACTTTTGAATTATCAATACGACGCATAATCATCTCTCGTAAACTATTTGTTTTTTTTTTTTGTTTTTTGTTTTCAATATGTTAATTAATTATAAATTTAATTAATTAGTTGTATTATATTAACTTATTTTAAGTTTAAATTGGCAACAATACACACTTGCAAATTCTTGTGCCAACACCCAACCAAAACAAATTTTAAAATCTTTACTTCCAAAATATTTGGTTAATGCTTTTTATGCTTTTTTATGCTTTTTTATGCTTTAAAAAAAAAACAAAAAATATATAATACATAAAAAAATTCTTTTCTAAACACAATTTCTGACACAATCAAAAACGAACATATTAAAACTATAGATAAGTGTAAATAATAATTTTAACGTATATCACAAAAGAGCTAATGAATTTGGCGCAAAATGTGTACATTTTTGCTACGGCACACATTATTTTCAGTTAAAAAGAGTTCGTTTTTAAAGTGCACAAATTTAAATTGAAATTTAATATTAAACAAATGAAATACCATATAAACAAACTTAATTCAATTTTGAGCTGGCACTGGCACTGGCACTGGCACTGGCACCCGACAAACTGGCACTGTGGCGTAGTGCAGTTTTTATATGTTTTTGTGCGTGTCTTTTCATTTTATTTTGTTTCTAATTATTTTTTTGTTTGTTTTTTTGTTTTTTTGTTTTGTAAAAGTGAAAGTGAAAATTGAAAATGAAAATGAAATTTCATAACTCAAACAAACGCAAACTTAAAAGAACTAATCGATATAAACATACATATAACAGTAGAAAATATTTAATGAGCACAACACGAAATTATCTTACGTATATCCTACACTTAATTTAAATGTAAAATTTTTATTATAAAAACAATAATAATAAAACAGAAAAATATGGCTGTCATGTTGAGCACAAGACACAGAAATCGGCAGAAATCGAAAACCTCTTACTTTTCTTGCAATGAGAAATAACATTGGTTTAACATTTATTCGTCTTTGACTTAAAAATTTAGTTCTTGTTTTTTTTGTTTAAATATTTTATTTCATATTGCTAATACATTTGTACACATGTATTCTGTGTGCAATTTATTAAAAAAAACTTCACTCAAATTGTGAAAAAATACATATTTCTTCAATATAGTATTTTACATATAAAATATAACTAAACTTAAGAACAAAATTATTAAAAAAAAAAATAGTGAAGTAGCAAATAATAAAGTAGTCTTGCAAATTTTCATAGAAACAACATTACGGCTATAAGTAGCAACGATAAGAATGCTATGGTATACCCTGAATAATAAAATATATAACAAATTACAAATTAATATAAAATTAAACGTTTACACGTATACGGATTTGACCAGTTCTTTCTTGAGGCGAAGAAATGTATAACCTTATTTTCGTCATTGCAGGAAAAAGGTCTTCTTTTTTTTAAGTATATAAGCAAACATACATTAGCATAAAAATTAAAACAGATATCATCTCATGCAAACTAAAAAATGCTGTAAATATTAATATAAAAAAAATACCATTAAACAAAATTCTTACTCAAATCTATGTACAATTATGACGAGTGCGCGTTCAAAGGACGTTCACTGCAACGATCACTGATCCTTTTCACGGCCACGTTCCAAACAAACAAATTATCAAAATATTTTATATGGTGGTTGCGGTGCTGGTGGTATTAAAGTTGTTGAAAATATTGGTGGTGCTATCAGTTGGTGCGTTTGGCAGATTGACCTACAACTGTTGCTGTTGATGTTGATGTTGAAGTGTAAGTGTTGTGTGGTGTTGGTGTTGATGTTGATGTTGTTGCTGATGTAGATGCTGATGTTGCTGGTGATGCAATGGTGCTGCATGCGAATGTGTATGTGGATGGCGTCGTCTGAACAGATTGTTTAAGAGCAATTGTTGCTCTAGGTCTGTAGGCTGTGTATTGGCCTCCTGCTGTTGCTGCTGAGGCAGATGGGAAGTGGGCGGATCAGCACTAATACTAGGCGCCTGCTATTGTGAATGCTGTGTTGGATTGTGTTGTAAATGTGGCGGCAGACTAACAGCGCCACCTGCTTGTTGCTGTGGCTGCGCTTGAACGGGTAGTCCGCCTGGTGGTGGTGGTGCTAGCGTTGGTTGCCCATACACACCACCAACGCCGGCTGGTGCTTGCGGCAACATATGATGTTGTGCAGCTAACTTGGGTCCATCTTCGGCTTTTTCTTCTTCACGACGCTTTAAGCATGCTGCTTTTGGATTAAGATTGCGTTCGCGTACTTGTTGCTCTAATGTCATAATCACCTCAACAGCCATATTAAGTATGCCCAATTTTGTTTGTGGTTTATCTGATTTTAAATGTGTCATGCACATACGGCCAAGCTCTTTGAGTGCTTCATTTATATCTCGAATACGTATCCGTTCGCGTGCATTGTTTGCTTGACGTCTTTCTTTTTCTCTCATAGCTTTAACTACAGGTTCGGCATCATCGTCATCATCTGCTGATGAACAATAACGTCGCGGCCTCTTCGAGCCTTTTGTTGATGGTGGTTGTTGTTGCTGTTGTGTAGCCTCCATTGAGCTGGTGGGTTTAGAATCAGGTGTATCTACAACGCCCAACGCGGTTATTGTTGATGTTGATGGTCCGGCATTTGATGCGGCAGCAATCGCAGATGCAGTTTCTTTGCGTTTTTTTGTGGATTTTGTGGAAGGTGTTGGTGCATTTGTTGTAACTGACGTTCGTTCCATTTTTATTTGTGATACTGATGCAGAAGCACCTGGTAAACCGGGCACACCTTGCACTGCTGGCCCTCCTGATAGAACATCGTGTGTGGAACCGAGTGATGTATTGGCACCAGGACCACCTACCATATGTGTTGGCGGTGATGTTGGTACAAAAGTGGTTAAACTATCAATATTGTCCATATTTGAAAGCGCTGCGCCCACGCCGCCCAGCAGCTCAGGTTCACAGTGGTTACGTAGCACATTTAGGGCATCATCTAAGCGTTCCTCCATACGTGCACTTTGGAAGACAGCTGCCATTGTATGTAGTCCGGACGGTACCATATCACCGGCATAATTACTACCGGCTACAGAATTAGCATTGGTACCAGTAGTACCGTTTAAGACTGCATGACCCCATGCACCAGGCGGACCACCGCCTACTGACGCTTTATCTACAAGTAATGCTTGCGTTAGACCACTCTGAGTCAACGGTGGTGGGGAATTAACTGGCGTTGATGGGTTCGAACTGAAACTACTAATACTTTGATCAGCAGCAGCTGCAGCTGACATATACATGTGTTGACGTAATGTTGAAGTCGTTGCATTATTACCACTTGCTACACCGACACCAGTACCAGTTGCTGTACTTTTGGGCCCCATATTAACACCGACACCAACAGACGTATTCACACCTACAGCGAAATTATCACTTTGTACTGCAGGACTATGTTGCTGACCATGATGTGCATGACTTAAAGCATGATGACCATGTGGACCGCTAGTTGTCAATGGATTGTGCTGCGGTCCATGAGGTTGTGGGGAATTATATAATGCTGGTGAGTGTGATGGTGGTCCACCAGTCATTTGTTGTAGACTGTTAGCACCGCCACGAAATGAACTCATCGGTGGTAGCGATGTAGCAGCTGGACTGTGCATAGCAATATGGCCACCATCCATTGTCAAACCCATGCTAGAACCGGCACTCATACCATGATGTTGCCCATCACCTTCGTGATGTTGCTGCGGTCCCATATGATGTGCGCCAATTGGACCGTTACTTTGATATGATGTTTGAGTACCATAACCACCCACTGGTGAAGTATACCAACCACCACCTGGCGCACCACCATTTCCAATACCCGCATCAAAATATTGATCAACCGGACCAGAACTAGTGAAACGGCCACCACTTCCAGATGCATCATGCATTGCATTAAAATCATCATTTGAGTACATTCCATTTTCAACACCTAAACCACCATAAGGCGATTGATAGCCACCATTTCGTTCATTACCAGCAGCCGGTTGTTTATTTGCGATTTTATTGAAACAATTTTGAAACACCTCATATAGATGCATTGGCTCATCATCGCTAGTCGCCATTGTGGCGTTATATTAAACACCGCCCTAATGGCGTATTGACGTTATACAACGCTACTGTTGTCGATCCAATCGTCTTCAGAAGAACTCCGAAAAATTCACCCCAAGGGCAAATATTGATACTCCTATTCGATGTGAAACTGCAAATAAAAAAAAAAAATTAATTAGAAAAAAAGCTATTTAAACAAAATATTTATTACTTTTAATATAATTAAATACAACAGAACTGTTACTGAAGGAGCACAACACAACCGACCACTGCAGAAACAAACGGCGCTTGAATATGAATAATTTTCTGCACAAACAATATCTGGATTTGTGCCAGTTGCAATGGACACACACATCTACTCGTATCTATTAATGTTCATGTGTACGAACAACTGTTGTGAGTGTAGCAACAAACAGCAGCAACAAGCAACAGCAACAGCAACAAGCCTCCTTCTGGTAGTTTGTTTGCAAATCGAGTTTGCCTTAGAAAATGAAATTAGAGAAGCTTTAAAAAAACTGGAAAACAAGAAATGACAATAAAATTGACTACGTTTTTCATCAGAAACTGAACGCAAACATTTCAACAACAAAAACTAGAAGCGCTAAACAACAATCGCTGGAGAATATGATAACTGCGGATAAGATGGTTTGTAAGATGGTCTGTTTTGTAAACATCCACAGAATTTTCAGATGACCACATGTAGATTAAGCGATTTAAAGTGTATCAATTGCATTTTCGGAATCAAATGTTTATGGTGTGAATACCGTGGAAAACACTTTTAATTGGGCTGAGGAAAAAAAAACGTGTTCGTTTTGTAGGTAAAACAGACATGCTATGCGACTTTACAAAAGAATATCGCTGATTTCATTTTAAAATGCTCAATTTTATTGAAGTCAAGTTTAGTATTATGGCAGAAAAACCGCTCACTTTAAAGAGAATTCAAATAAAAAATAGTTCATAAATAAAATATATGTATTTGTTGGGTTAACAAAAAACTGTTTTCGCTTAAGCAATAATACTTGTCGTCCACTATACTAAGTATCTACTTACGACTACATATATATTTTTTAAGAGCAATGGCTAAATATATAAGAAACTATCATGGGCCATTGATTTGGCATAATTTTGCTTTATTGAACACTTCAAAAACACATTTACTTTCAATAATAATTAAAACTATAAAATTTCTAAATTCAATTTAGGGTCTACAACAATTCTTACATATAAATTATATATGACATTGCGTATTCTTGCTCAAACTTTACTACAATAACAATAATTAATCTACTTATCCATCACCACATTCTAATGGGATCGCACAAATTATTTGCTCTTCAAGAAAATTTTAACAAAAAAGACGGAGTCCAAAGATGCAGTCCAAACAAATTATATACGGACTATAAACTAATTAAATAAAATTCGATTATTTCCAAAGACCACTGATGAAGAGTACTTGGCAATACTCGAAACAGCGTTGTATGGTCAGCCAAATTTCAATAAATTAAAAATAAAAAGTTTTTGTCTTTGTCCTTTCTTTGCTATTCGAATCCGTCTAACTTTTAAATAGTTTCTTTCGTCATAAAAAGACACGCCATTATCGGCAAGAAAAAATTAACCTTAAAAAAGACGGATATTTTTGTCGAAGCAAAAACCGGACCCATATATAGCCGATATATATTTTTTTTCGTTCCGGAACGAAAAAGTTTCCGGCTCAATACCTTGATTTGAACACTCGTTTCAAACACTTTTAATGTTTGAAATCTTTGAAATACTCAAACAGCTTATATATATATATATATACCCATAACAACAAGTACTCGAATATAATATAATCTTTGAACATTTTCGAGCAGCTAACTGTCAATATGTGGATCAAACATATGTTCTATAACGACAATTTTCAAATAACTATTCTTCTGTGTTCAGACCAAATACAAAAGCATACTCAGAGGACCACAGACAACTTATATATAGATACCCAATGTTATACAAAATGAATATCCACTAAAATATTAAAATTTGACCATTCAATCGCCATTTAATCTATAACAACGTGTAGTCAATTACACGTCAACAAATACATTTAAGTAAAGAAAACCAAATTCCCGGCTATATGTAAAAATCTTATAAAATAATCAAATACATAAACTAGAGAAGAAATCACTAAAACAAAATTTTCATAATACTAACAACTTAATGTGTTAGTAAAATCAATTTTGATTGAAGATGCTGTTTTTCGAACTATTAAAATCATTAAGGATTTAGTGATTAGCATTAGCCAACTATATATAAGTAGTTTGTGCTCGAAGGATCGCACAACATTCAACAGTTTAATTAACATTTGAAGGCCCATTATTAGCACTATGAACTTGATAGTTTTTTGGTTGCATCGAATGAACAAACACCACTCCTTAGTATATTTTTCAGATGAAATTATTGGTATGAGATCTACAATGAGTAACATACATAACCAATGTTTTTTACATTAATTTATTAAATATTATTTAATAACAATGAGTTTCAAAACTTGTAGCACTTCCAGTAATATGTAATTATATTTTAAAATTTTGCAGAGATCCTTTTTCCTTTTCAACCATTTATATAAGATATGAGTTTCTCAGTTACACAATTCTACCTGTATTACATTTTCACCGCTTTAAAAAAACACCCTTTAAGAAATGATAAGACACATACTATAGAGTATATACTTACTCCTCCCTTTTACAACGAATTTGTAAAAAAATCACACCTATTGTTAATGGTGTTATGTTTAATCATATTTCTGTTGTTATTACTTTTATCACTGCTACAACTTATATTTATGCGTATAAAAAATAATAAATACACAATATTCCTTACAGCATTGGCAAAAGATATACATATATACCTATATCCCTACTTACACGTAATTTCATTAATTATTAAAAGGGTACAATTAATAAAATCAATAGTTAACGAACGGTAGACTTTTGAAATGCTTACAAAATTGATACACGTATACCTAACCTATACTCTAATAGATTTAAAAATCAATGGGACATATTTTTCCCCCTAAAATTTCGTAACAATTTATATGAGAAAAAACGATATGGGGTGTCCTTTGCAACAGGTAGTTGACTCACATGTATTGTGTCAAGCTATGCACAAATTATATTTTTACCTGTCGAAAAATATATAAAAAAGAAGAATATATGAATTTTCACACACAAACAGATAAATATACGGATACAGATAAGTTTATGCAAATTATTTACTACTGATATATGTACAATGGGGAAGTACATCAAGGATTGCCAGTTAGAAGATATTTTTTGATGCAGTAATTTACTAGGACCTCAGTTCTATTATGAGAGACTCAACAGTTTACAATTTGTATTTGGCAAATATAATTAATACACTTACTTGAGTGAATCTAAATACACTTAAATAACTTTAAAATATGTACATAATGGATTGACACGAATATACATTATGCAGATCGATTCGCATGTATAAACAAATCGAATGAAATCAAACACCTGTTCGACTTCGAACAGATTTTACCTGCCCTTTATTTATAATGCGAATTATAAAAAAAAAACAGTGTTATTTAAGGGAATACACTGAGGACAAAAAAATAATAATAACAAAGTCACGTGCTCGGACAGATAAAACAGCATGAAGAGTTAATATTATTATAGCACACAAATTAAGCATAATTAATTAATTACTGTTGACAAAATTATCACCGATCGATTTTAATCATAAATAATGAATTCTAGTTGTTGAACGAAATATGAAAATGAACTTCCCACGCTCTTTATATTGATAATTCAATGGAGGAAATAGTTTCAAATCTGATATTAGATCCTCTATGTCTTATTCTGTAATATTAGGCAAAGACAATAAGATGCTACCATTAAAATGTATTTGTTTTTTTTACATACGTTTTTATCTTATAACCAGGATATAAACAAATCGATAAAATATCATATACACTTTATCCTATAAATGAACTTTAGTTAAACAGAAGAGACTTATCTGACATTATGAAGATTTTATTTTTGGAAAGGTTTTATTATCAATCAAAAAAAACCGTCATCAAATCACATCTCTGAAACGAAAGTGTAATATTATTTAGACAATTCCATATTTTGAAGATAGTAGTTTTATTAATGGCAGAACCACGGACACAACTTATAGACAAATGTCCAACGCCATACAAAATTAATGTCAAGTATAGATATATATAAATACAGTCAAACTTCCATAACTCGAAGTCCAATTTTGCAAAGAAAAGATTCGACTTATGGAGACTTCGAGTTAGATAACTTTTTTATTTTTTTTTTTTATTTTTGAAAGAAACTAGAATTACAATCATTATCTATTTACAATCAAATAAAGCACAGCAGTTATAGTGAAGTAAAATATTTAGAAATTAGGGTTTGGAACTTTAATTTTTTCTTATTTTCAGTAGAAAAAGATTCTACTTTATTCATCATTCATATTGATCATCAGTTGTAGTATCATTCATTTGCAAATATAAATTTAGAATATTGAATGAGTCTTGGAAGCCTCTCTCAAACTCTCATCATCACTTTCCGTTGCGCTAGAATTGGATCCAATAATTTAGAGCTATAGTGCTCAATAATATCGTCATCTGTAGGAATGCTTGATGTACAAATTTCATTGTCAAGTTCAATATAATCATTAAGAGTAGCATTAGAAGTTATAATATTTACTTTAATCCACGCTGGGAGCGACTGGCATTTGCACAAAAAAGCAACATAAGAAGGAAAAAATTAAATATTTGGTTCGAAAAAAAGAGACTCTTCCTAACAGCAAAATACATTTACATTTAAAACAAAAATTCAACTTATAAAATGCTTTTTCCCATATTCCTATCTGCACGGAACAAAATATTTTTTCGAGTTATAGAGAAATTCGAGTTATAGAAGTTCGAGTTATGGAAACAGAATTGTATGTAATTTGCTCTCTAAAACCTTGGTGCACTGTTTTTGGTTCGAGTTTTAGAAAGTTCGAGTTATGAAAGTTTGACTGTATATATATATATTATTGTATATATTATTTTCAATTATGTTTCAATATGTTAGTAGGATAAACTTTAAATGAACGAACAGGACATAACCGATATATTCAATACAATTAAGA